GATCTGTAAAGCTTATTTGGATTTTACAAAATTATTTTTAAAATACAGTATCCTGAGAAAGGGGCTTCAGCAGTATAAATGCACAGGATAATGATAAACTAAACTAGACACAGGTGAGGAATATAATTAGTAACCAAAGAAAAAAATGTGAACATACTTAGAAACCATGACAACCAAAGAAACAGGAACTAAACACCGGAGGATTTTCCTCTTTGCTTCAGCTTTTAATTAGCAAATTACATTTTTGAAGCATTTTGGGTTTCATTTTTAATCTTGTTATATTATGGTATTTTTCTTGTTTTATGTGAAGTAATGCTTTTCTGTTGTGAAATACTTTGAGCTGCATTGTATGAATACTTTGTATGAAAGGTGCTAATTAAATAAAGTTTAAATATAATATAATATAATATCATTATTTATGCCCAGTCTTTATAATGCAGAATAAAACAATACTGTAGAATTCTGAAAATGTTAGCTTTCTTATGTTTTAATTCCATTTTTTAAACATTTGTTTTTCTCTAAAACTTTCCATAGACTCAGATGAAAAACCCCTGTCCTTGATTGTCCTTTACTCTGGCAACTCTGTGTTTTTGTAGGACTATCTGCTGTGGAATCGGCTCGGGGCCACGCTGGCAAATGGGGACCGCAGTGAGGAGGCAGTGGAGGCCTATACCAGAGCTCTAGAGCTCCAGCCAGGCTTCATCCGTTCGAGATACAACCTCGGCATCAGCTGCATCAACCTAGGGGCACATCGGTAATGAACCGAACCACTGAGCATGGGTTGATGGGAAAGAACTGTTTGTCTCCTTAGTGTGGATATAAATAGGCTAAAGCAGAAGGCTGAAAAAAACTTTCAATTTCGATGTTAGCATGTTTGACCTCTCTCTTTTCTCTCGCAGGGAGGCAGTGAACAACTTCCTGACAGCTCTGCACCAGCAAAGAAAGAGCAGGAGTCATCAGGTGATGTCCAGCAACATCTGGGCAGCTCTGAGGATTGCCCTCTCCCTCATGAACCAACCAGAACTTTTCCAGGCAGCCAGTGTGGGAGATCTGGACCTCCTAATGAGGGCCTTCAACATGGACATGTGATTAAACTTGGACCTGTGATATCTTTCATTCACGTACAGTAGGCACAAAGTTAGGCTCAAATGACTATGGGATGTCAATTAATATGCAAAGTATGCACAGCTAATTTTGTTTGTTGTGTATATTTGGGCAGCCTTTGCCTTCTTCAGAGGCCACTGAAGAGGGTGTTTATATTGCATAGAGCACAAACAGAATAGGTAAGTGATGGGTTTTGAAAGTAGATGAATAAATGTCAAAGAGAGTGAGAGCAAAAGCACTTTTTTTTCTTGATGTTAGTTATATTTTACTGTAATATTTTTAAGGTTATCTAAAAACTTTGTATACTTGAGAAAAATGAACCAAACCTCGTTGGGGAATCTAGGAGGAATTTTGTTTAGTTTGTGGATTAGAACTG